GGCACAGCCCGGGAGAGACACTGATGGCACAGCCTGGGGGTCACTGGTCACTGATGGCACAGTCTGGGGGTCACTGATGGCACAGTCTGGGGGTCACTGATGGCACAGCCTGGGGGTCACTGGTGGCACAGTCTGGGGGTCACTGATGGCACAGCCCGGGGGTCACTGATGGCACAGCCCAGGGGTCAGTGATGGCACAGCCTGGGGGTCAGTGGTGGCATTTGGAGGCTTTAGGTGGGAGATGAGGAACGTCCAAAGCACGCTGTGCTATCACAGCAGGARTGAAGGCAGCCTGCCAACAGCCCGGGGAACACTGAATGCTGTCCATGTAAAATAATATCCAATCCCTAAACAGTGGGAACGCTCATTGTCTGCCTCGGGCTGATTTTTCTGTGAATCCTCCTGAGTTTATCCATCACTACTAGTATTTAACGTGATTTCAGCACAAARACACAAAAGCAGCAGCCCAGGTGAGCTGGAACCATGTAACACCTGGAGCAGCTGCCAGCATTCCCACAGAACAGCTCCTGCCTGGGGGAAACTTAGGGATCTCCATCTCCTCTCAGAAAGGAAAACTCTGCTACCCCTGGAAGCTGCTCGTGTCACTGCAGAGGCACAAAGGGGATGGAAACAGCTCAGATTGCGGGGTCCCTGGGTGTGTTCAGTGCTGCTGAGCCCTTGGAGTGTCCCACACCTGAGGAAGGAGCTGCATAAGCTTCCTTTGGGGCGTCACAGTCACAGAATCGGAGCCACAGAATGTCTTGAGCTGGGAGGGACCCACAGGGATCACAGATCCAGCCCCCAGAGCCTGCCCATCCTGCCCAGAGCCCCCAACAATCCCCCCTGTGCATCCCTGGCAGTGCTGTCCAAATGCTCCTGGAGCCCTGGGCTTTGGGGCCGGGACCATTCCCTGGGGAAGACAATCCTGTCCCAAATTCCAACCCCCCAGTGCTCCTCTCCATGGGAGCACCCCCAGCTCGCCCAGCCCTGGATCAGCTCTGGGGCTCCTCGGGCACCAGGGATGGGCACGGAGTGGTGACAGCCCCAAAATCCCCTCCATGGGCTGGAATCCCCTCTGCCCTCACTGTGCTGCTGCTCCCGGGGTTTTGGGGTGATCTGGGCTGGCTGGAGGAGCTGGGCTGGTGCRGGGTGTGGGTCCCTGCCCCCAGGGTCACTGCTGGACACCAAAGCCTGCAGCTCCCGCCACCTCCAGGCCCTTTTCCTCCCTGGGGACAGGGAGGAAAAGCTGAATTCCCACCTCAGGTAACGCTCACCTCCACCAGAGCTTTCTTAGAAAGGTTTCCCTGGGATTTAGGGCCTCCCCTTCTCCCCAGGGAAGGAGCAGAAATGTCCCTGTGGCTGGGTCGGGTCCCCTCCCCGTGCCAGCTCCTGCCTCAGTTTGCAGGTGACAAAACGAGGCCATTGCCCTTCCTTCAATCAAAAATTCCAGTTTCTCCCTTCCCCTCGGGGCACAGCAGCAGCTCCAGCACCAGCAATGATTCAGGAGCGGAGCCAGACGAAGGCAGAGCTGATGGATGGCAGTGCTCTGCTGGAGGAATGTTTTCCTGCAGGAGACTTTTTGGAAACAAATATATTTATCCTCATTCAGAGCTGAGACACAGCCCCCATGGCGGTGAGTCAGGCCCTGAGTCAGGATCCAGCGGGAGCGGGGCTGGGAGGGGTCAGGAAGGATCCAGGGAAAGGGAACTGGAGCAGCCTCGGGAGCCCTCAGGGCTCCTCAAATTCCCCATGCCTTTACAGGTTAAAGTGATTTTTGCCCATTTTGACCCTTAKGATGGAAGTCTCCAGATCTCCAGGGTGGGTGTTGAAGGTCCCACTGGGCTGGAATGTGGCTTTGGGACAAATCCCCCAAACGGGAGGGG